ACAATGCCATATAATATATTACACCTGTAAAACCTACTTCATTAATCATAATTTGTTATATTATACAATCATTTCTTTATAGAGTTGCAGGGAATGCTGGTAAAACTTTCCTCTGCAATCACTAAGACAGATGAAAAGCATATAGACATGTTGAGAGTTCTGTACACAGATCTGGTGATTGCTAAAACAGACTTGGAGGCAGCTGAATCTGCATACGATTTATTTAAGTTACTAATAGCACCAGGTATTCTGAAGCCAACAGATATTTCAGTTTTGTTTGAAACGATTGAAATAACTGGATTTAGATATTTAAAAGAGATAATCGAGACGTATGAAACATATCCAAGTGAAGTGAAATTAACACGATTTTCAGAACATCGTCAAAATGTTGTTGATCTTGGAAGACGCTTTTCAGTTAAAGATGTCCAAAGGCTTAGTCAACTATACAGAGGCAACCGTCCTTTTGCTAATCAATGGAAATTGATAGAAGATCTTGAAACAGATGTTTTAACTGAAGATAATATGTCAACATTTCTTCAATGTTTGAGGGAGCATGATGTAAACAAAGGTTAGTGAATAGTCAAAAAAAAATAATATTACATGTTTTAAGTATCATCAACATTTCTTGCATAAGTAAGAACGTATTTTCAATTTCTATTCTTTGCAGGAAGTGGAGAAGCATCAACATCAAAAAGAAAAATGTCAGACAAAGGTTTGTAATGTATTGTCAATAATATGTACTATTTGTAAGACCCAATAACACCAGTGCAATGATCTGAAGCTCTAAATGCCATGGAATAACAAATGGAATATGAGTAATAACAAAAATGAGCTCAAACTAAAACAGTGTACAGTATACAGTACCAAGGCATGACTAGGGATGCATTTTTTTTCCGAAAATGGAAGTGATAATCTATAGAATAATAAATTAAATATGAGGAATAACATAAATTAATAGTACTTAAAGAATATTCAGATTACCATGGCAATAAAACAATAGTGAGCTTGCTGTTCTCACCCTGGGCATATTATTATCATTTATGCTAAATTTCAATGCTGTTTATTTCACAATTTGTTTATTTTACCTTTAGAAAGGTTAAGGTATCTAAAGATCGAAATAGAATTTAGTGATGAGTTTATATCTTGGCTAGACAGTTAGATGGTCAACGGTAATCTGTATATTTCAGAAGAAAAAAAGGCGGAAACTTTTACTTGGATTTTCTTTTACACTACTCATACTAGGTTGGATAATTCGCAAAATAATGGCTAGGGTATTGGTTAACAAATTCTTTGACTCACTGAATTGAACTACCCAATTTATTCACATGTTATTATGCTATTGTAATATTTTCCAATTTCTATTCTTTGCAGATACTGGAGAAGCATCAACATCAAAAAGACAAATGTTAGAAAAAGGTTTGTGCTGTGCAGTTGATGTATTATTTTTAAGGCCCACTAACACCATTGCAATGATCTAAATCTTTAAGTAACAACAAATAGAATATGAGTAATAACGAAAGATGAGCTCAAACAAAAACAGTATACAGTATACAATACCATAGCATGACAAGGGATGCAATTTTTTCTGAACACCAAAGTTATAAGCAATGTGAAAAATCAATAAATTGAATATGAGATATAAGAAACATGTTGTATAGTACACAAAAATAATATCACATTTATATTTGAAGCATCTTCAACATTTCATGCCTAAGTAGGAAGATATTTACCATTTGACATGGATAAGTTGATTAAGTTCAATTTTTTTTTCAGTTGCTATGTGTACCTTCTTGGGCCAGTATCTGCTGTAACAAAACAGATTTAATACAGGAGATTAAAATCTTACAATGATAATTATGTATCATGGGGTTAAAAAACCTAACTTTAAATTTATTTACATAAGCAATATGATCGAAAGGTGGCCATGAAATATAACATAGCTAATCAACTTGGTCCCTCTTAACTACAAACATCATAATCATAACAAACTTAAATATCATAATTATATTTAAAAATTTTAACAAAAACTGGAATGTAATGGCATCATTAAAATATACTTTAAGATAAGTAATTCTTTAATTTGAACAGAGAAGGCATGTCTTGAGCTGTTTCTGTTACATGGGGAGTGTTTTTCTTCAGATATATTGCTGCTATGCCTCAGAAAATCTTACTTTGATTTGCTTTCACACTACAAATACCTAGTTACCATATGTTACTACTTGTATTTTAGTATTTTTAAAATAGTGCCAAGGGTATTAGTTAACAAATTATGTAAGTCACCGAATTGAACTACCATATTCATTTGAATAAACGCCCTGCTTTGAATAAATACCCCAACTCGAATAAACACCCCCTCCAGAGCCTCATTTGGAATAAAATCCTCCCTTAAATAGACACATTCATTATAGTGACTTTAAAAAAAATGGAAGCAACATCATTCTCAACACATTCTATTAGTATTCTACTCCAGTAGAATTACCTTTTTTACAAACCTGGTCGGGATCAATAAGTTTTTATGATCACTCATTACATTTGAAGTAATTAACAACATTTTGAAGTAATCATGTGTTGTATTTTTAGGTTTAGAGTGAAATTAAAGGTCATTTATTTGAGTATATAGATCAATTTTACACCAAAAAAAAAAAACCCCTACCTCAAATAGACTCCCTTAAAAATCCCTTCTCAACAACAAACACCCGGGGCATATAATAATAATAATAATAAATAATAATAATAATAATAAATGAATTTATATAGCGCAAATAGACGAGGTCTCTAGATTTGCACTTTCCCCTCCAATGAGGATCACTTCGTGTCTTCTGCAGCCAGTAAACCGGCGCACACTCATCAGTCTACGACAGGGGTCGAGTGAACCAGTACACCGGGGTAACCCCCTACTCATCTCGAAAGATGTACTGGGTTCTTTAAAGTGCACATGAGCGTTTGTGTACACTGGGCCTATGGTTTATAGTCCTTATCTGAGAAAACTTGTTCCACCACCAGAACTATAGGAGCGAGCTGGCCGCGAACCCATGCCGATATTGTTGGCTATGATCACGCTGCCCCTGCCTTAACCGCTCACCCATTTGGCTCGCTGAAATTTATTCTAATAAATACAATACCTAATATTTTCCCAACATGTTATTATCATGCTACTGTAACAATTTTCAATTTCTATTCTATGCAGGTAGTGGAGAATCATCAACATCAAAAAGAAATATGTCAGACAAAGGTTTGCAATATACTGTCAATAATATGTAATATTACATAGCCTATGTAAATACGAGTACGTGATTGGTCGAAATGGAATCACGTGACTAGCGCTACGTGGGTCGGAAACGTTATAGTTTCCCGTAGGGAAATATAACTTTGAAAAGTGACCAGTCTATGACGTCACCGGATTACACCGGCATGCGCCCGTAGTGTGAATGCTAGTTGAGCGCACGTCGAATTGTGAATGTGGAAAGCCTAGCGCTTCGAAAATGGCGACTTCAAATAAGTTTAAATCTCTCGAAGAAGACAAATTGGATAGAATTATTGACGAAAAGGATTCTCGGTATACAACATTTGTTGTGAATTCATCCATTAATGTAGGCCCACTCAGTAAATATTGTAAGGCCAAGGAATCATCAAATTAGGCCTAGGCCCTAGGCCTACTTGTATTGAAAATTTCACAGCAACGGAGCTCAACGCGTTGCGTTTGTCCGGTCATTCTACGCATATGACGTAAGCAGAGCAAACGGGGAATTGTAGGTTAAACGATCAATGATAACGCTACGCTACGGACTATAGAAACATTTTTAAAAGGTGACGGTAATATAGTATTTTGGCTATGTAATGTAACAGATATTATGTAAAAGTTAAATAAAAGTTCTTGATATTTAAAGTAATGTGTTCAGTTAATTATTTGCATCTGTTTTTTGCTATGTAATATAACAGATATTGCCTTTTCTATCGGTGTATTAATAACACTTGATATCCCCTTGGGAATTATATTTTTTCTCAGGACTATATTTTCCCTCAGCGCTACGCGCTTTGGGAAAATATAATCCTTCGAAAAAAAATATAATTCCCTCGGGGATATCAAATGTTATATTACACCTTTAAGCAGGCAATATCTGTTTACTATTTGTAAGGCCCACTAACAGTCCAATGATATGAAGCTCTAAATGCCTCGAAATAGCAAATGGAATACTGTATGAGTAATAACAAAAATGAGCTCAACAGTGTACAGTACCATGTCATGACTAGGGATGCATTTTTTTTCGAAAACGGAAGTGATAAGCTACAGAACAATTATATTGAATCCGAGAAATAACATTAATTTAAACAATAATGATTCAGATTATCATGGCAATAAAACAATAGTGAGCTTGCTTTCAGAATTTTAGGTACTAGCCTCAGAAAATCCAATTTTCTTACCCTGGGCATATTATTAGCATTTATGCTAAATTTCAATGCAGTTTATTTCACAATTTGTGTATTTTACCTTTAGAAAAGTAAAAGTATCTGAAGCTCGTAAATAGAATTTAGTGATGATCGTATATCTTGGCTAGACATTTAGATGGTCAACGATGATCTGTATATCTCGGAATGAAAAATAGCAGGCCTGGATGATGAGGACTGTTTTTCCGGGATATTGCAGGGTCTCCTGCTATACTTCAGAAACTTTTACTTGGATTTTCCTTCACACTACTCATACTTGATTTGCACTTGATACTATTTTTTTGCAAAATAATGACATAATTAATGTTGAAATATTGAATCCCGACACGATGGCGTGTCTGGATTGGAGTATGTATTATACTATCTTAATGACTAGGGTATTGGTTAACAAATTCTTCGACTCACTGCTACCCAATATTTTCACATGTTATTATGCTTATGTAACATTTTCCAATTTCTATTCTTTGCAGATATTGGAGAGGCATCAACATCAAAAAGACAAATGTTACAAAAAGGTTTGTTCTGTGCAGTTGATGTATAATTAAGACCCACTAACACCAGCGCGATGATCTAAATCTCTAAATAACAACAAATAGAATATAAGTAAGGGGCTCAAACAAAAACAATATACAGTATACAGTACCAGGGCATGATAAGGGATGTAATTTTTTCTGAACACCAAAGTGATAAGCTATGTCAAAGCAATAAATTGAATATGAGAAATAACATTAGTTATATAGTACACAAAAATAATATCACATTTATATTTAAAGCATCTTCAACATTTCATGCTTAAGTAGGAAATATTTACCGTTTGACATGGATAATTTAATTAAATTCAATTCTGTTTTTCAGTTGCTATGTGTACCATCTTGGCCAGTATCTGCAGAAAGCAGATTTAATACAGATTTAATACAAGAAATTAAAATCCTGCAATGATAATTATGTATCATGGGGTTAAAAAAAACCAAACTTTAATTTTATTGTACATAAGCAAGCAATACAATTGAAATGTGGCCATGAATTATAGCATAGCTAATCAACTTGGCCCCTCTTAACTACAAACATTTTCATTCTTTGCAGGTTATGGAGAAGCATCGACATCAAAAAGGCAAATGTCAGAGAAAGGTTTGTACAGTGCATTCAATAATAATATGTACTACTGTATTTTTTAAGGTTCACTAACACTAATGCAAAGATTGAAGACACTGAGCAATAACAACAATGAGATCAAACTAAAACAATGTACAATATATCATGACTTGACAAGCAATGCAATTTTTTCCTAAAATCTGAAGGGATAAGTTACATCAATAAATTGAATGAGAAATAAGTTGTTCAATCAACAGAGCACAAACACACCATGCAGACAAATAACGTAGATATTACTCCCGCTAGATTGGTTATTACGTTTTCCTCATTAAAACATGAAAAATCACATACCCACTGCTGATGAAGATATAGTGGTTTTTAAAGCTGTCGATAGCTCTTTCTGTGTCATTGGTTTGCCTGTTCTATGCACAAAAAATGGGCTCGTAATGTGAGTGCGGACACTTAACTTGTGTTAACTGCTCTCACTGGGCACAGGTTTAGAGATCGGAAACTTTTAGCTCATACTTAGGGGTATGCACATTTATTGTCTCTAGGTGTTTCTTCTTTGTCATGATTCAAGTACCCAAATATTACAATGTAATTGGTAATAACATGACAAGCATGGTGTAAAAAATATGATAAATCTTACATGAATTTGAATTCTCAAGTATTAATTTGAATTCCTCAAGTATCAACGTGGAATACTGCTGCTGTACTCTTACTCAGCTTACTAATGGATTTTGACAATAATTCTATATAGTATAAAAGTAGATTATGGAAACTGAAAAAATTGTTTATATTCTTAAATCTAGTGAGTTCACTCTCACCAATACTCAATAACAGAAATCATTTGAATATTAAGAACAAACATGAATAGACTAAAGCTAAAATACATGGCATAGATTATCTTATCACAAACAGTATAATATCATTTGATTAAATTTTGATACTAAAAAATACTAAAATCAGTTAAGCATTCTGAATTATAACTTTTCCACTTTTATTAACATGACTAATTCATAAGAACAATAGAACGATCACTTGGGTTAAGCCTATATTATACAAAAAAAAAAAACAAGCATGCGAGATTCAGAAAAGTGTATTGACATAAAATCGTCTATTTTACACAAAATACTAAATCTATAATTATAAAATATTCTAACAATAAAAATTAAAATCAATAATAAACATACCAGTTAACAACTGCACATTGCATTGTAGAATTACACAAAACAACTGCACATTGCATTGCAGAATTACACAACAAACCCAAAAATATAGCAAATCAAGCCTGCGTTTCGCACTTGCTAAAATCAGTATTTGCTTAATTCAAATTTTCTGCGTGTAACACCAAATTCTCTGCGTGTCAGAAGTCTGTCTGCAAAACATAGGGATGCATCACTAAAGATAGTGCTCACATAGAGAAGATTCTAACACTGTATATA